AGCTGCTACTTCCATTACACTAGCTATTGTTGCCCACCAGTTCTCACGGTCCTTCTTGAGGCTCCTCGTGGGATGACGTTGTTGACGCTACCTAACCCTGCCTTGATTCCGGGTGGTTGCGATTTGCCGCTTTTTCTCCGTCAGTGCTACTGACTCATCAGATATCCAATGCTTCGAGCGGGCTACTGCTTCATATCCATAAACAACGTTCGCTGCGGAGAGCATTGCTCGGATAATCTGATCCCATTGTTCATTTACACTACTAACCCGCAGTGCGTTTAGCTCTTGCCCTAGTTCGGATTCAAAACGTGCACGAGCGGCTGGGTCCGATAAGCGACGATCTGTCAATCGAGTTTGGTGAAATTTTCTGCGACCAGTGAGTTGGAGAGTGAACTGCATCAAAACTAACGCATGATGAGATTCAACGCAGGTGCTCCAATAGGACCTGCAATTTCGCACTGAGCCACGCCAACGGTAACTTACTGTGATGTGGTCGATTTGAGTTAGCCTGCCTGTTGAATTTGAGCGCCACGTTGCTGTCCGTTGAGAGCTGTGTTGGAAGTTGGTGCTGGATAGGAATATATGATGATCCGCGCAGAACTGAAGAAGTCGATCGCCATTATCTGTTTGCTGGCAGGGCAGAGCACAATTACAGCCTAGACAAGCTTCCGATGCGCTCAGTTTTCCAACTTGAGAGTTGAAATCACCTGAGAGAGCAACTATATCGGAGCTTCGACTCAACCGAATGAGTTCGGTGAGTTTACCATAAAACTCGTCCTTCTGTGCGTCAGAACTGCAATTGGTCGGTGGTGTTGATCGTAAACATAATTCCGTGGAGCATGTTATGACAACGGCGGAGAATGCGTAAGAAACTGACGCCACTGTCGTTCTCCTACCACACACATCGGTAATGGTTCACCATCATCGTACAGCGAAAAACAGTGGCGCGAACTCAAGTTATCGCTGCCAAACTCGCGAGGTATACAAAATTATTGAAACATGGGGAAAGTGAGACATAGAAGTCTTTAGCAAATACAAAGAACGAGGCACTCTGCGACTGCTAAGTGATTGGTCCGCATAATTTACCGTTAATGCAGTTATCGAGAAAACTATCCCGGTTACTGCAACTTGTAATGGTTTCTTTGAGCATTTGATTTATGATTGCCATAAACCACCAAAGCCTCGAATCATAGGTTCAGAAACTTCGTAGTAGTGTTTCAAGGGTAAACAACTGAGAACCCGTTCAGAGTGTACGAGATTTTGGGGTTCGAGCGTGACCGAAAGGAAATAATTCTATTATTATATCACTTTCTTGTTCTTTTTAGCTGGATCACGGTAGTGCCCTACAGACAGATCGAGCTCGCACAAAGAAGCTGTGTGTTCTGAAACTAATCTGAATAACCAGGTCAGTGCATTGTGGCGTCCTCCCCTCAGACATGCAATATTTGGTGCAGGGGAAGACGCCAATTATCAGCTGCATCTATCAATCACTGGTGTAATCGGGATTCGGATAACTTTAGTACTATTGTAAAGGAAAATCATTTTTAAATAACTAGAAAAAGGAGAAAAAAGTAGATTATTGAGGAGTTCGCGAGCGTCAACATACCTGTGATCCATATATCTCCATCCTCATCCATCTTTGCACCGTCCCCAGCCACGTAGTAGCCGGGAAAACGAGTGAAGTAAACCGACTCAAACCTTTTTTGGTCTCCATACACACCTCGCATCATTCCGGGCCATGGTTTACCGAACACTAAGTAGCCTTCGACGGATTTGCCGCTGACGACAGCCTCCTCACTGAGATTAACGCCCTTGTCGGACAAGATTTGGGCATCCACACCGAAAAACGGACGAGTTGCGCAACCCGGTTTAAGTGAAGTCACACCAGGAAGCGGAGTAATCATGTGTCCTCCGGTTTCGGTTTGCCAAAAGGTATCCACGACGGAACAGCGCCCGCTACCGACCACGTGATGATACCAATCCCACGCAGTGGGGTTGATTGGTTCACCGACAGAGCCCAACACCTTTTCGATAAACAGTAAAGTACTGGGTAAACAAAAGGTATGCTCAACTCTATTTAACGAAGGCCTATTTTTTAAGATAAGCAACTGAATAAATACATCTCACAAGGTCAATTGGTGACTCTATTAAAGGACAAATACGCAATAATTGGTCATTGGTAATTAAGTTTTAAACTTTCTGGTAACATTCGAATGCACCCGCACTGCTAGTACTCATGCTTGTATCGCACTTTTTGATCTGACTGTCTTTATCTGTATTGCCTTACAACGAAACATATTACTCAGTTTCTTCATAAGTAGCACAGCATCCTCAGATATTCTTCCGCCTTTGCATTACCTTCCTGTGGATAAAATCCTAGTTGCAAACGCATACCCCCTAAGGCTGGTCATTTTATCCAAAGCAAACAAGTATTTGCAATTCTACCGCAAACTAAAATCATGTGCGCGCCCTTCGATTGGCTGCGCTACACTCCCGTGCTTGTTCGTCACGTTGGAATTTATCGTTTAACTTATCCATACAACGATGCTAATCATGACCAGGATCTACAAATATTCTCGTCAGGACATGCTA